CGGGTCCTGCACTTGGGTCACAACCACCCCATAGAATCATAGAATCATAGAATTGCCCAGGCCGGAAGGGACCTCCAAAGGTCATCTAGTCCGACCTCCCCGCAGTCAGCAGCGCTACAGGCCTGGGGAAGAGCAGCAGGAGAGCTGCCTGGTGGAAAAGGACCTGGAGGTGTTGGTTGACTGTCGGCTGAACGTGAGCCAGCAGTGTGCCCAGGTGGCCAAGGAGGCCAACAGAATCCTGGCCTCTATCAGGAACAGTGTGGCCAGCAGGGCTAGGGAAGGGATAGTCCCCCTGCAGCAGGCACTGGTGAGGTCCCACCTCAAGTGCTGTGTCCTGTTCTGGGCCCCTCACTACAAAAAAGACACTGAGGTGCTGGAGCGTGTCCAGAGAAGGGCAACGAAGCTGCTGAGGGGTCTGGAGAAAAAATCTTAAGAGGAGCAGCAAGGGAGCTGGGGTTGTTAACCTGGGGAGAAAGAGGCTGAGGGGAAACCATCTCTCACTCTGCAACTACCTGAAAGGAGGGTGTAATCAGATGAGGGTCAGTCTCTCCCAAGCAACAAGTGGTAGGACAAAAGGAAGTGGCCTCAAGTTGCACCAGGGGAGGTTTAGATTGGATATTAGGAAGAATTTCCTCACTGAAAGGGTTGTCAGGCATTGGAACGGGCTGCCCAGGGAAGTGGTTGAATCACCATCCCTGGAGGTAGTTAAGAGACAGGTAGCTGTGGTACTGAGGGACATGGTTTAGTGTGGTTTTCTCTGTTAGACTGGTGGTTGGACTTGATAATCTGAGGAGTCCCATCCAACCTAGGCAATTCTGTGATTCTATGACCTTCTGTATAGGTTGGTCCTTGCCGTCCTCCTTTAGTGAGGAGTGTCCAAGCTCTCACAGCCTTGTCTCCTGGCCCAATGGCTGTCCCTGTTGCCCTGCTCCGGATTTGTCTTCTATTTTGAGGGGTCTCAATTCACATTTCCAAGCTTTTCTTAGTGACAGCAATGTTGAGAGACAGACACAAGCTAGTGCCAGCTTCTTCTGTCTGTTTAGTCCCAAACTACCCGTGTTCTATCCGTCATTCACAGCCACTTCTGGTGAAGCATCCCCCAAATTCCCTGTAATACAATATTGCTACATTAGCTCCTCAGAGTTTTTGATTTCATCTACCTCAGCTGTATATATATTTCCTAGTAACTAGATGGAAAATTCTGCTTTTTTTTTTTTTTTTTACCAGTGTTGTCTTATATGGACCCTCAGAAAATCCAGCAGCTGAAACTGTGATGAAGACTTGTAAAGGCATGCAAACAGATGGAGGCAATTACAACATAGATATTCTTAATGAGTGAAAACTCCACAATTTTTGAAGCAAATATTTTGAATTATTTCCATTTAGCAGAAGATGTGGCCTTACTAAGCTTAAAAAAAATGGGAATCAGGACAGCCATGACATCCTCCCACACACAGAGACAGAAATCTAGAAATAAAACTGCCATTATTTATGGCAGTCAGTGGAAAGAAGAGCATCTTAAAGTCTGATAGGCTTATGTCGACCATATGATGTACATCAGTGCCAGTAGCTCGGCGGTCTCTTTCACGACTCAACTGTGTCTTGCTCCATATGACTGAGCTTTAAGAGGACTTTTGTTTCAAATGGGTTAATGTAATAATTTGTCTAAATGAAGGAGCATGCAGCTGAGAGTGGAGATTCTGAAAAGAAGAACTCTAACTCCAGTTTAAACAACATTAATGTCCAGTTAACAGAGTGTCCAATTAATTGAGTGAGAAAACAGAAATAGACAGAAATAGACAGTTTTCTTTCCCTTTCTTTTCTAGAGTTGCATATTTATGCTACCCACAGTGAATCATCACTGTACAGTTGTTGTGAGAAACCGAGTAGTTTTCGTATCACACAACAGTGCGTGCTAAGAAAAAGAGCTGGGAACAACTGGAAGTGAAACTAGCATAACATAATCTATCAAAACTAAAAAGTAATCTGGTAATTTAAGAAGTACTTACTGTGTGGTACAAGTAGGTGGCAGCACTATTCCCTGGGTCTCTCCCTGCAATCCTTTTGCTAATTTATGTTACAGGACAATACATAAGCTAGTAATTTCTCATACTCTCTTGTGATAACGCCGCATATATATGATAGCCAACCACATACATCAATCACTGTTTTAATTCCACAAGATTTTTTTGAAAAATCCTAACTTTTCTTTACAGTAGAGGTATTATGTATGTGAGGAAATATAAGTCTGAATTTCATGAATGGTGTCTTGAGAACCACAAGTGAAAGACGTTTTTGGTTGTGATCATATACTTAGGTTGCTTAACACCTTCTCACAACTTTGCCATTCATTTCATCCACAACTCGCTCCATGTCCTTTCCTGAGTTTCCCATCACAGGGGGAGGGAAAAAAAGATGTGATAAAGCTGGCTAAAAAATATTTTGTAGCAGCCTACACTCACGGGAGTGGACTTTGCATTTGCCCCATGCACTTTGTAATATACAAACAGGAACACCAAAGGAAGAGGTCTCAGCACACAGCCATTGCTTTCATGTGAAAGGCATATGTGGCTTCAGCTGGGTCATCAGAGCCCTAGAGCTTTTTGGTTTTTCTCAGGATTTCTTTTCCACTAGTCTGCCAGTGAGCCATCTCCCTCAGCTGTCAGGTAAGGGAGCTAGCATGGAAAAGGAGTAAAAATGCACAGCCAAGGTTAGAAAATGAAGATAACACTGAATCACCAATGACATGAAGCAACTTGAACCGATTCAAAATAAAATCTTAATTGAGCATGCAGCTGCAGCTGTTTACCTCTCTCTTAAATATATTGGAAAGCACTCCAAGTTGAAAGCAAGGTGAAGATAGGAATTTGGGGGATAGGTCTTCTGCCAATTCATATTAAATCTCTACAACTGCAAGTTGCCTGTAATCTTAATAAAACCTAAAAGACGTAACTCAATTTTCTATTGACGCTAAACTAAGGTAAATCTCAGCCCCTTACGGAACTATTTGTGTGAATATGACAAATCATATGTTGTTATGCTGTTCAAAGCTGCTGGAGAAGTGTTCCTGGTGCCAGGCTTGCCAGTGGGCACCGGGCATTCTCATACTGCGCAATGGCGAGGGTGGGGTGGAAGGGTCCTGCTGAGTGCTGCTGCAGCAGAGAGGTCACCTCCTGGTCTCTGCGCTGCCAGCAGAGCAGGCTTGTGGTTGTTCCTGGTGTGTACAGTCTGTCTGCTCCTGGTGGGGAAAGTAAAACTGCCCGCAGACACGCCAGCTGCACGTTTCCAAAGCGTCGGTTGCTCTGTCCTTCTCATACGCAGCACAGGAATAAAAAAATCAGATCTTTTGAATTCAAATGAGGAGGAGAACAGACCTTCTCTACAGAAGAGGTAAAAAAAATTTGTAGTACTAAGAAATGGCTAGCAGACAATTGCTGACCACTAGAGGGGATCATAGGAGCGGAGAAGGAATTGAATACTCTACATAATAAATGCCTTACTGTAACACAAGCTTGCCTACGTGCAGTGGTGTACTGTATGGGCACAGTTTAAAAATGATTGAGAAAAACCAGCACGTTTTGCATGCTTAAGTTGATGTAAGAAGCTTATATTAATTGAGTTTAAACAGATCAATAATGGTTTAATTGTTAAATAACTTCTTTACACATATTTTTTTCATCAAAGACAGGTTTAACCTGTTCAACTTTCATCTGTAAAAAAGTTATAGCCATTCTTTTAACCTATTAAAAATAGGCACTGTTCTTCAGACTTGGTGACATTTAAACAAGTGTAGCTTGCTTGTTTAAAAAATAATCTTAAATTGCTTTTAATCCTTCTATAAAGTCCTTCTTATCTTTAAGAAGGACTACCTTAGGACTAACCACCCTAGGCAGTATCAAATTAATTACATCATTGTGGAGCCAGGCTGCAAGTTAAAATTGATCTCTATATAAATTACATCAGTCTTGCAAATAGAGTAGGTGTAAACGATGAGTACATGAATGTGACTGAACCTGATCAGATTTATACTAGCTACAAGAATCCTGCCTATCAATTTAAGGGCCACCCTACTGAAATTGAAGCTGACCTCCCATCATGAACATTTGATTTAGCCATCACCCTTGTAACATGTCTCCCAGGCCAAACCAAGCCACCTGAAGCAGTGATATCAATATTTCAATCC